AAAACCACAGGGCTGATGTAAACTCTCTTGCCACCTGTGGCAGGAGAAACCCACTGCTGTTTCCCCACCAGGGCCATAACTAAGGTGAAGAGGCTTTGCTCCAGGGCACTAAAATCTAGAGGGGGATCTACTAGTGAAAATAAATGACAGTACTTCCAGATTTGTCTTTAAAATGTTTACAGTATTTTGTACAGACATCACTTTCTTCTCCTTTTTCAGAGGGTGCTCCTGCCCATGTCTCAGAGTGGAGTGAGTGAGAGTTTGTGCCCCTTGTCAAAGTGCTGAAAGGGCCAACTATAGCAATTTCCCCACCCCATCATTGCCAATACAGCACCCCACAACCAAACCTCTATTGTTATTGCCATCCCTCGTGGCTGCCATCAGTTGGTAAACACAGACTGTCAGGCTACCTTCCACACAGTGTCTGACTCTGAGGAAATATCCTCAAAGCAAGACAGAGCAGATTGATTTTCACTGTAGTGAGGGAGCAGGACCAGCTCTCTAGCACTAGTGGTTATGTTCTCTCACTAGATTGAACCACATTGACGGTCGTCTTATACACAGAAGTAAGCTGAGGAGAGAACATAAACAAGTGAAGGGTAAAGCAGGGATCAAAGCAATCCTGCAGTGCTTTGATTCCTTTCCCCCTACGCTTGCTAAACCCCACTTAGATTTCTTAATTTTGGCTTAGAAAAGTAGGGGTGTCTTATACATGGGGTGTCTTATACACGGAAAAATATGGTAGACTGCAAGTATATATAGTTACCTGTAAGTGCATATTTTTCAGCCTTCAGATATTGCTCTGTCTTATAATGTGACTATAATCCTTTTCAGTGTGTTTTGCTTCCACAGACAAGCACCTCAAAAGATTTAGTCAATGATCATATGGCACATTTATTATACAGATATGTTTTTATAATTTATAAGATATATATTGTAAATGTAAACATTCCTAGGGGAAAATGTTGCAGTTTCCATGTTTACAACAAGTATAAGGCACATAGTGCAAAAATACTTTTCTGATACAGAGGTCACAAAATAGTTAAAATAATAGTAAATAGCTAAAAGGCATCTGCTCAAAATTATATCAACAAGCCTATAATTTAAATATACTTGTGGGTGACATTAGTTTAGCTGCCATTTTATCTACCAATATATTGCTAACAGTTAATATATGTATTTGGTTTAATAGTTTAGGGTGCAGCACAGATCTACTAAGATCAGTGGAATTTTTGCCATTGGCGTGAATGGAATAAGAACTGTATACTGGTATTTGGTTTGAACAGTAGGCATCACAAAGAAAATAAACTATAACATTTACTACACAATATGTGTTAAATACCTGAGAACTTACTCTGTTTTTTAAATTTTTATGTAATATTTGCATTCTGATTTTTTGTGATCCTAATTTACAATTTCAGTCAGTACCACACTGCTCAAACTATAACTGATCATTTGCGTGGGGGAATGAATCTATGTTTTAACCAGGATGCTGTGGAATTTCTGATATGGAAACTGAGCTCCTGTCCACACCAGAATTCCCGTACATTTCTGAGGAGGAAGCTATGTTGCACATATAAAGGAAAGCACACAGATCAGTTCTCGACAAACTGCAGCACATGCCTCCCAGCTCACAAAACAAAGTGAAACAAAACTTACATAACGAAGGTATGTGGAGGAATTTATCAGTTTTTGGACCGCTTTCTGGCCACTTCCACTTTTTTTCGGGTGAGGGGGAGGCCTTTCCTGGGCCAGGAAACAGCTCGTAAAAGGATGGGGGTGGGGAGGGAGAACCTGACAAAATTATTCCCTACAATCTCTAGAGGACGCAAGAGGATTTTTTTGTTTGTTTCTTTTAGTAGGGAGAGCGCATAAAAGGTCACAGGGCAACTTAACACAAGTTCTGTAAGTTGCCAGCCCTGCCCTAATAAAATCAAGAGAGTTCTGATGTAATGTGAATGGATGGGTTCCAATTACAAGAAATTTACACAAACCTCTGCATCATGCATTATCACTTCCTGTCATTAGTGCATAAAAGCTGGAAAAGAAATCTTGGGTTACTGTAGTGTATTCTAATTGGTTAGGTAAACCGAGTTAAAACCAAATGTCATTGCTCCAAGGTTCTTCTTGTAACAACAATACTGTATATCTCTGCTAGGTCACTGGGAGTCCTGGAGATCTCAACTGGTTTTCATTGAACTCGGCAAGCTTCCTTCTATTTTCTGCTGAGTTACTTGTAAAAGACTTCAAGGAACCAACAGTGGCATGACATGAACACCTGACTGCCAACATCCATGTGTTAAGTATTTGGGGAAATGGTCATAAACACAGATTAATGTCCAATCAAATACTGTACTGTAATATACATTTGGATGAGAGGTAGGATCCCTAATATTAGATGCCAATGTGATATTAATTCTATTATTACCTTGTACCCAGAATGAAAGTTAACTTCATAAAGAATGTTTCAAGAGGATTCTTTGAAGCCGAGTTGCTGTTTTTATTTGAGTTGAGCACCAACAACCATAATTTTAAAAAAAGAAATCCACAAAGGGAACAGTAAAGAAGTTAAATCTACTGTATCACTCACTATGTGCCATTCACATAGCTCTGGGATTTACAAAGTCGACAGCAGCTGAAGGATGCAATCTCAAGCAAAATTGGTAGAGAATGAGGGTAGGACCAGATGGTCAAATAGTCCTGGGTTGGATTGTGCTAGGTCATTCCAAACAGCTTCGCTCTGAGGTATGGTATGTCATTTGGGGCAATATTTCCATCCGTATGCAAGTGCTGGATGGTTTCAGGCAGGAAACCAAAACACACTTCAGGTGGCCCTATTTGGCCCTTTTGCTCTTTAGAGAAAAGGGGGGGGAAGAAACCTCTCTTTGTCCTCTCTCCTCCATGGGGGTGAGAGAGAAAGCTTTCAGATTTATTTAATTACTTCTAAGTGGCACAGTGCTGAATAGGCTGACTGAGCAATCAGTTCAGCATTGCCTTACAAGGGCTTAAAGAAAAGAAACAAAAAGCCTTTGCATCTTCTCTCTCCTCCTGCATGGTGGGGGGGAGGAAGTCTTCAATTTCCCAGCATTGTGAAACAGCTTAGACAAAGTGACAGCTTAAGCTATCTGCTTTGGTGCAATCCCAGTGATCACACATGCTGGAACCAAACCTAAATGGAGCAATCTTACCTGCACCAAAAAAGACAATAGCTTCTGATAGGGACTGAAAAAGGTGCAGGTAGGCATGGATCAGGGATGGGCTGGTTCATGATTGCTTGTACATCACGTGGTCACCAGGGAAAGAAACAAACCAGCCCATCCTCAAACTGGACCAAACCACAGGACAAATCCCCATCTGATCGCATCACAAATATCTTTGATCTAAATCCAATTGTCAGTCCCAATCAGACTATAGCTCCTAAATGTATTAGATTTACATTAGAGTTGGCTCGTTATTCAGCAACTGGTTCAATGAGTTTGTTCTATTTGAAACAGCCAATTGGATTTAGGCCATGAACACAGCGGGATAGAAATCTAAGAATACATGCTTAAGATTTCAAAGCCATAAGAGTCATGTGACACCATGAAGACTCATATACTTACTACTGCACTGAATTTTTATGTGCTAGAGTCTACAAAAGCTATTTTTAAAAGACATTTCTTTATCTTTAAGGGCCACAAGACTCTTTGTTGTTTATGTTTATGGCTGTGCTTGCCATATATTGTATGCTTGCCATTCTCTTTCCTTTGTTACTGTCCAATGCAGCTGATCAAGATACGCTAGCAATGGTGGAATCTTGTTTCTTTCAGTGTAAGAATATATCTACATTATAAAGTTACTGCAACATGATGCCACATTAACCACTGTTGCTCTATCCTACAGAATTCTGAGACTTGTCAAATGTAGACATTTCCGCTAGATAACTTTAATAAGCTTCTGAACTTCAACCAGTTTTCTAAGTCAAATTTTATCAAACTACAGTTCCTTGGATTCCACAAGAGGGAGCCATGGCAGTTAAAAGAATATCAAACTGCTGTAACTACATAGTGTAGATACACTCTTAAGGATGTTAACTTAATGGTTTCATTCAGATTTACAAAAAGCCAGTTCAAAGTTTGTTTTAACCAAGGTCTATGGGGCAGAGATGTCACCTTGTACAAATGCAGCTTGCTAGCACCAAAGCTACACAACAGGAGTCACATTCACACAATGATTATGCATGTAGTGAATGTACGTAGCAGGGGAGCAGATCACAAGAGCATATCCTAGCCATGGGTCTCCATGCAAACATTTGATCTTCTGTATGATTCCCATGCACGTATATCCATACAGTTAAAGTCTGTGCATTTCATAAAATCCCCAGCTTCCCATAAAGGGTTTCCATATGCACAGCTCATTGGCACACAGAGACAATACAAACAGTTGCCATGAGCTTGTACAGGGGGTGGAGGGGAATGGAACTTGCCACCAAGACCTTATTCCTATACATACATCCACTACAGATGCTGTCATTGTGGGGTGGACACTAGGGAGCTTACAGCATTCATGGCTCTCTGAGAAGTATGTTTTATATGTGATGCTTGTAAACATGTTTGTCATGTTCCTTCTTTACAACCACACTGTGAAACCGGTCAGAGGAAGATGGCCAGATTCTTTGTCACCGTCTGCAGCTGTATTGGCCAGATGACATTAGAGGAGTGGACACATATCCCCCATGTCACTGGCTGTTTTGCCAAAGCACTGTATGGAGCTTCTCTCCCTGACTTTGCTCCCCTCATTTGGCTCCCTACTTGGGGAAGACAAGGAGGGGAGGGTAGCTGAGGACACACAGCAGATAATTTGAGAGCCTAACTGAGTCCTGAGTTTGGGACACATTCAAGTGCCAAGGTGAGTGGCATTCATTCACCTCCAAAACTTCCCATTGTGGAGAACAGGATTGGAGGGGGGAGGCTGAGGCTACTGAGGTCCCTGGCTTAGATTCTTTTTTTCCCCCCTTTCTCCTTTTAATGTGTAGGACTTTGAGTCAGAGATAAGGCAAGCCATGAACTACCAATGTTAGGACTGGAGATCCCGATAGGTCAAACCTTAACCTAGATTTACATCTTGCTTTTTAATGTGTAAACCAGTCTTAAAAGTGTGCTCTAGAAGCTACTGAAATCTCACAGAGTGGGTTTTGCTGGGAGCAGTGCAAAATGGTGCCTGTGTGATCCTTCTGGCCCAACTGGTATTTTTTTGAAACATGTAGCTACCTGGACCTCCTATACCATTGAGTTGGCCAGAAACAACTTTGGGTGAAAACCACTGGATTTGCAAGCTGCTTCCACCAATAAGCAGTAATTTTGTTCCTTTCCATTGCAGCCACACACCTGTACCCTCAACCCTCTGGAGAATTTTTTCAGGGTTTGCAAATGGCCGCAACAGGAAGGTCAACTAGAGAAAGTCCCTTTTTGCCAGTTTCCTTTTACTCACTTCTTAGGGTCCCAGTAAGTATCTCTATAAAAACCTAAGGATTGACAATGGCAGTTTATGTGCATGTTTCCCTTTCAACAAATGTTGGTGCAATTGATTTGAATCCCTTTTGTATTAGCACCAAAAGAGGAGGAGGAATTCTAAGTAAATAGACTTTATGGAATTGATATAACAGCACCTCCAATGTCATCCTTAAAGACTTTTCTTCTCTCTTATTCGCTCTCTCTCTCTCTCTCCATCTTTTACTGTAATTGAAGCTGGAGACCAGTGTTTCCATTAGGAATACATTTCCCACAGAATCCTCCACATCTTCCATATATTTTAGTATCATCCTGAAAAGAATTTAAAAATCTCTTATTGAAAAGCCACATATATACAAACATATGCAAAAGGATCAAAATAGAATAAGACAGCATACATTGCTCTGAATGCTTGCTGACTACGACTACTATTTTGTCACTGTTGTTTTTGCTGCTGCTATTTTAGAATCAAAAACAATTCTAATAAGCTCAGGAAGGTTTTGGCTCATGTTTCTCAAATATCTGTCCATGTAAAAATGGCATTTCATTTTTAAAACAGGTGAGATTTTGAAAATCAGTTGCTGTGACATAACAAAAGCTAAAAACAAAACAAAAAGCAAAAACAAAAAAACCTTGGGCATCTTAAAGGGTCTTTGTGTCCCACCCACTCTTTTCCTAGAGACAGGTTGTACATATAGGTAGTATGACACTAGAAACAGAACCCTCTGAAATGTCCTGGTATGGGATTGCCTTGTGACAATGTTTCTTTTATGACTGGTCATCACATGGTAAATACAGACTTCATTTAGAAGTCTGATTGTGCTCTGGAGGAATTGTGTGCATAGAGAAATAACTGTAACAGCTGAAAATACATATTGCCTTAGCATGTGGTTTGAACCTCAGACTCAACCAAGTGTTTGGTCCATCACAGTTTTATCTAAGAATGAAAATGAATGTAATATGTTCATGATAACTTCACCATTCAGATATGCTCGTGTATTTATCTTCAGTGAAGGTAAGTAGCCCCAAATGAGCCTAAGGCAGAAAGGAAATACCTGTGGCTATCTGACCTTGTTAGAAATCTATGAATTTCAGGGTTATGCTGCCACAAGCATGATTTACTTCTCAGGCTGGGTTTGTTATATACCTATATGTATAGTGGTGCCTTGCAAGACGATTGCATCGCAGGACGATTAATCCGCAAGACGATTAGTTTTTGCGATCACTGTTGCGCTTCGCAAGACGATGTTTTCTATGGACGATTTTTGCAAGACGACGATTTTTCCCCATTGGAATGCATTAAGTAGATTTCAATGCATTCCAGTGGGGAACTGCGTTTCGCAAGACAATGTTTTCTATGGATGATTTCTGCAAAACGACGATTTTCCCATTGGAATGTATTAATTAGATTTTAGTGCATTCCAATGGGGAACCACGTTTCGCAAGATGATGCTTTCACAAGACAGCGTTTTTCGTGGAACGGATTAACATTGTCTTACGAGGCACCACTGTATATGTTTATATATACACAGACATTTATCTGTATATATACTGTATATTCTTTATTCCTTTATAAGTTTCTAATTTTATTTCTTTTTTTAAAGAAAGTTAGTCCATCATAATGGACCAATGAAGCATAATGTTGCAATACATAGTGTTAATGAATTTAACAAAAATGACAGAAATTAATTCAAACAGCTAATTCAAAAAATAATATTACATTGCCCTTCATCAAAGACATACTACAGAGCAATGCACAATAAAACTATATCCTCAGTGACACAGGAAGTCTAGCAAGTAAAGGCAAGGGGGCTGGGAGAAACCAGTTATATTTCATCTATCAGGATGAGCAAGGTTTCTTCTGTTGAGGGACACATTCCCTTAGGGGTAATCTGTTTCAGGTTACATGCCAGTGGTTGGCAAGACTGAGGCCAGTGGTCTATAGATGGTAGAATAAAAATGTGTATTTTTTTTCACTCTCCTTTTGCTACCATTTTTCTTTTTCTTTTCCTTTCCTCATAAACCCTTCTCTCTGTCTCTCTCTATGTCTATGTCCCTCTCTCTCTCTCTGCTTAGCATAATGGTTTCCAATCCTAGGTGCTCAGATGTTCTTGGACTAAAACTCCCAGAAGCCTTCACTACTATCCGTTGGCCAGGATTTCTGGGAGTTGTAGTCCAAGAACATCTGGATGCCCAAGGTTAGGAAGCATTGGCTAAGTCTTGACAGCAAACTGCCATTCATTAATGCACTGGTTTCTTTCCTGGGGTCATGCCTCAATGCAGGATGAGATGTGCACCCAGGAACACAATGAGCACCTCATTAAGAAGTGACAATTTCCTGCTGAGACTTAGCATGCTATGCCTTACACAAGTGCATATTGGAAATAGGATTCAGCCATTGTCTCTTCCTGTGTCAGACCTTCCAGAGAGCTCCAAGTCTCTCTCCCATTGCCTTAAATATTTGTTCCTCCTAATCTTCACTTGTTAACAGTCTTCATTATTATGCATATAAGTAATCTGAAATGAAACCTCTTTAGTGCCTGACACTTTCCACTTCTTTGTTCTTGACTGATATTTCCATAGGAAGGATCATCTCAGTGGAACAAACAAAGCAATGAACATTAAGTAATTTCTTGAAATATAACTCACGCGAGATTTATGTATCTGAACAGTGGCATAATTTCCCTGAGCAATCCACTTTGCAGTAGTGGACAGCTTCAGTCCAGTGCCTGCCAAATTGATACCAAACTGCCCCTGTAAAATGGAGGAAAGCAAAGGATGCAGATCAACTTGAGAGCATAGTTGACAATTATTGCCCCTACTAGATACGGGCACACTACACTTATCTTGCCAAACTGTTCATTACTTTTTTTTCTTGACTGAAAAGCAAGTGCAGGGGTGTGGGGGAGACTTGATCTGCATCTGGATAGGAACCCTAGCATTGAATAAGGGAGCTGGAAAATGTTGCCCCCTCCCCACAATCGCAAACTAGATCAGTTCTGCTGTGCCAGTATTTGCATATGGACATTAGTGACACACAATAAAGGTATCTCTCACACCTGCCTTCAGATTGTGGACAAGGACCACATTTTTGTTAAGAGTAACATGTAGCTTAGCGCACACATGCACATATATATATATACATAAAGGAGAGCTGCTGAAGGGAAGCGGCAAGATCACAAGAGGGCAGTGCTGTTTTGGAAACAGCAGGCAGAAAACCCAGAAAGAGGTCAAGGCAAGAAAAATGAAAGAGCAGGTGAGAAAAAGAAAGCAGGGTTTCAGGAAAGAGGATGATGAAATAGGAAAATGAAAACTAATTCTGTATGTGTGAACGGATTCCTCCCAGACACTGGGGTGATTCCCATGTAATAACTGAGAGATTTACAAAGCTGTCATGCTGGCTGGGGGATACTGATACAAAAAGTCTACAAAAAGTAATTTTCCCAAGCTCTGACTATACTCTCTGGCACAAACCTAAATGCCAGGCGAAATCTGAGAGCTTTGCAGTCCCGGAAGTTATCAAGCATTTAAACAAATGCCGCTCAAATCAACTTGTAGAAGAAAGGGAAATGAAGAGGGAAGAAGAAGAGGAGGTCATTTCGCTGTTCAAGTACTACCATACTTGTACCTGCATATGTTGGACAAAGGAAACCTATGTACCTGGGGGCATCTTGCAGCACTATAGCAGTCTCCAGCTGTGGCGAACGGAACCGGCTTTCCAAATATAGTGTGGGCAAAGCGGAAGTCGGTAGCTAGTGAGCAAAAGTGAAATTCTGTTACTGAAAGCAAAGCAAGTTCCATTCGCGCTCACATGGACAGTAGTGAGCGCAATACAAAACTATGCGGGCAGAGATAGCCTCCGTTCTCTGAAGGGAGATAATAAATATGCACAGAAATGTCTCTTTCTCATAGAATGGAGGGGGGGGAGGAATTCCAGCTATAGGCTTTATGTGGCCCCAAGGATAACCCCATCGGCTGTTGCCCTGCATCTGGTACAGCAGCTTCCTTAAAAACGCATACATGGCATTCAGGGGAGGATTGAACTGGCCTCCCATTTACTTCAACAGGAAGCCTTTTAAAAAAGAGTCATTACTGCACATGTGAGAACTCCATGGAATCTGCAGCAGAGGAAGGAACGGTTCCAGCTTAACTGCTGAGTGCCGTATGATTTTCAAGGGAACGATCACAGTACTGGAGCCAATGGGAGGCTTTGTTTCTCCCATCTTCTTGCTGCACCCAGAGAAACTGTGGTTGCTGTTCCTAAACTGCTCCAGAGACTGGAGAACTATGCATTGATATTTATCATCACACTGAGTTTGGCCTTAATCTTACCACCAAACTCATAAGAGTGCCTCCTTGCCTGATCCACACGTTAACCATAGCTGTAATATGACACACAATGTCATAACATGTATTGTTATGATAAAGTTATACATGCATGTGGAACCCTAGATACATATACACAGGATATGTGCATGGGAAAAACATTTTGTAAAATAAACCCTGAGGACAATTTTTCTTATTCATTCCCATTATCTTCAAAGTATTACTTCGCAATAACAGAACAGAATGGAAAAACAATTTTCCTTCAAAATGTCAGTATAAGGTTTGCAAATTGCATTTGTAGGAGTCAACAATCATAGTAAAACACAGCACCTCATGAAACCCACAATAATACTATACATAGACTCACTGGTAATTTCCAAAGAACTAAGTTCAATTTTTATTTTTCTGAATATGGTGTAGCCAGCTGCCGGGTAATCATTTCTGCACATGCAGTCTTGACGTCTAGTTCCGTTGAAGGGACATTCATATGGATTCTGCAGCCTGCAAACAAACAGCCCTCAGCTTTTATTTTAGTATATTTAGTAACACATTATGTCACACTACATTTCCATATTATAAACCTGAAAAGACTAAAAATGGTTCAATTAGCTTGTGTTACAGATTGTATTGTAAAATCCATCCAGTTTAAGCATCTCAAAGTTCTGTTGATTTTCAGAAAAGAGGTAGAAACAAGTCCCTAATTCTCCATTAAAAATAAACTTGAGTTTAAACTTATTAAACTTTGGCTGGATACTGTTCAGCGAGGAGAGCCAATGGCCATGGAGTGCTTAGGAAAGGTCCAAACCGAACATTTCCACACCATGTGGATGTAGTGGAGCTTTGCCAAAATTCCTGTGGGCATTATGGAAGCTGCCATGAATTCTATGCAACTGGGTTCAGATGAATTGCTGGATTTTTTGCCTCTGCCCAGGTCGAGCATGTGAGGTACAGCTGTTCTCGGAGTTTCCCCAGCATATACTGTTCAAATCAGTATACGTATATCATATACAATCAAGGCAGGTTTGTTAGATCATTCGGGGTGGACATTCGCAAAGTGCTCTAGGAGATGTCTCGACATGTCCTGAGCCTCCAGCATCACTACCTGGTGGACATTCACACCACAAGTGATCACAGCAGGACCACAGTGGGCTGGAATCTCTCTCTGAAAATATTTCAACTCCAAAGTTCTTTGCCAGATTCCAGCTAAGGTGGAATTCAGAAGCAATCTTTGTAATGCTGGTTTCGTCTTAAGGACTAGGAAAAGGCCAAACCAAAAAAGGAAAAAAAGAGTTTGTAACTCGAATGTAAGTTCGTAAGTCGAGTCCACATATTCCTATGAGAGCGGTTCGTAAGTCGAAACATTCGTATGTCGAGCCGTTCGTAAGTCGAGACCCCACTGTATCATATACAGTACAATCAAGGCAGATTTGTTAGATCATTCGGGGTGGGCATTCCCAAAGTGCTCTAGGAGATGTCTCGACATGTCCTGAGCCTCCAGCATCACTACCTGGTGGACATTCACACCACAAGTGATCACAGCAGGACCACAGTGGGCTGGAATCTCTCTCTGAAAATATTTCAACTCCAAAGTTCTTTGCCAGATTCCAGCTAAGGTGGAATTCAGAAGCAATGCTGGTTTCGCCTTAAGGACTGGGAAAAGGCCAAACCACAAGTTACATTAGTCATACTTTAAAAAACAAGGGTACCTAAAAGTATGCGGTTCTGGAGAAAACATAAATCATGTGGCCCCAATCCAGATTTGCTCTTAATTTAGCACAGAGCCCTACACCAGCTGAAACCCCTTTCCTCACAGCTGTTCATTCTTGCAGAGAGCAACATACTCAAAAAACTTTGGTGGGGCCAAGCAGAAGCTGAGGAGGAACAATTTGATGGAGGAAGCTGTTGTGGGGGCTTTACTGGCAGCAGAAGCACATTCCAGATTGGGACTCTATCATGTTTCTCCCACCAGTGACCAATTTAATCACACTGCTTAAGAATCATGAGCAGTGTAACATGTAGCTTGTCATAGCAGATAGGGAGCCAGATGATAAGTTTTGTATTCCTTCCTAGAGATGGACATAAACCTCAACTCGGAGGTTCGTGCCGGTTCATACACATGACACGCCTCCCACCTTTCCCTACCTCCCCGGACTATGCCCCCACTCACCAGTTGGAGTGCCCTTCTCTCCTCCACCTCTTTGGCTATTCAACAAGTCCCCAGCAGGAACATGGGCTTGCCTGTCCTACCTCCTTGTCTATGTGGGCAATCAGCCAAGGAAGTGGGGCAGGGACGCCCATGCTCTTGCTAGACACTGGCTGAACTGGTGAAGAGGAGGAGGAGGAGAGAAGCACACACCAACTGATGAGTAGGGGAACCAGCTAGGGAAGGTGGGGAAATGTACCCGCCCAACAAACATTTGTGCCCTCTCTAGTCCTTTCCCTTCTGTTTCCCCTAGGAAAGGCCACCTTGCTAATTAATTTCTAAAATGAATAAACAGACCTAACATTCTCTTTCTAGAGTCTCTGATGCTAATTCAGAACTGATATTTCCTTTAAAACTGGGCACATAATGCTGGAATGATCACATGATTATATCTACCAATAAACAACATTTATATATTTAAAATGTTTTAAGTTCTAAAAGCACAGTACCGGTATCCATATACTTCTGAAAAATTATCAGCTTCCCCTTTAGACAATGTTAAATATTCTTTGGGATTTTCCAGCCACATGTCTGAGCAATAGATCTAAAAAATAAAGATGACAGAAGTTTAGGATTGCTTTAGGTAAAGAAATGCTAGTTTTATACCCTTCTCCCTTGGATAAAAATATAAGAGTACCTTTATCATTTTCCCTTTAATGTTAAGCAAATATTCACCATCCTTCTGAACCTTTTTTATAATCCGCATTTCTTTGCAGCTGGTTATCATCTCACCTTAAAAACAACGAAAAAGTTACATCATTTCAATGAATGAAGCATTCCTAAGTATACCTCAGTATTATAGTGGCTGATTACTTACAGTCTTTTGCACGGCACTTCCGTCTAGGTACAGGTTTCAAATGGGAAGGACACAAATCACTGAATGAGCCATTTTCGGCTATGCATTCCACTCTTCTTTCTGTTATTCCCATTCCACACGGCACTGAGCACTAAACAAAGATCACCAGATTAGCTGAAATGATCATGGCTGGAATTCTCAGGCAAGGCATAAAGCCCACTGAAACACATAATCGCTCAGCAGTGTAGTAAATCAATATGGAATTAAAGGTCCTCATCATGGCAGTTCCCATAACCATCCTGCACCTAAACAGTCCATATCTACAAATGAGGAGCATGTCTTTTATAAGCTAGTGATGCTTGATTGCCCATTCAACACCAAAGCTTCATAAAACTCTTTGTATTACGACATAGTTGGTTGCAATGCTCTACTACTCCTGGGAAAGGCAAGTTCTCTTCTAAATATTGTGAGGATTGCAGTTAAGGCAGTGTAACAGGGCAGCCTAAAGGGGTATGGTCCTCCTTGCACAAACATTGCCCTTATATGCAGGTGAAAATCTCTGTTAGAAATATCTGATTCTGCATGCAGAAAAAAACAACCTGTATTTGAATTGGGTTTAGCATTTTTGAAATTACTTTTTAAAAAGGTGACTACACAAAGCACATGGAAGCAGGTTTTTTAAAGGGAGAGCTGGAAAGCATACCCTTTGGTTGGAAAGTGAGGTATTTTACTTGGCTGTGATTTTAAATCACTTGTGAAATCCGTACCACTTTGTGATATGTGAAAACCTTGCTCCCTGCCCTTCTTCAACCCCTGTGTGTGTATCCCTCCTTTACAAGCCCAAAAATGCTGATCAAGTGAAAATGTATCTGGTAAGTTTCACACATACACTGTGTGTATGTCTCTTTTTCTCACTTTCAGAATCTAAACACTCTGCTTTGAGGGTATATATATCTACAGTTTTTCATAGTAAAGGTAAAGACTGGGAGTGATTAGACTCTGAAAGTGAGAAAAAGAGAGAAAAACAATTAAGAGTAATCTGTCTTCCCCTCTCTGAGCCTTTTGCGGATATAAGGAAAATTGTTTTTGCTATTATTATCTGAGTGAAACAAATAAAGCCAGGCTCTCCTTTTCTGAAGTTGGTGGTTTATCTTGGAACTGGGAAGTACCAAAACTCATATCTTTAAGAGTATAAAACTGCATAACTGTACCATATCTTTCAAACAGTGCCAAGCCACAGTTACAGCTGAGGGAGAGAGAGTAGAAATAAGATTTATGTTACTTGCTACATAACATTTGGCCAAAAAGCTCTGGGAGTTACAGCCAGAACCGAAACACAGACTGTGGATTACAATTTTGCTTTTATTTTTCTTTCTTGTTTATTTTGGTACTTTGGTACTTGACTTGCTGCCATATTAATTTGTAGATTACAAACGTGGACTACATATCTGATCAAGAAGCTTGGGGAGTTTACAGCCAGATGGAAACATAAACTGTGGATTACAAATTTGTGGTTTTTTTCCCTTCTCTTGTTTACTTTGGCACGTTGGCTTGTTGTTATACCAATTTGTGGATTACAAATGTCGTGGACTTGAGAATACAAAATTGGATTACAAATTAACTCCCCCCCCCACACACTCCTCAGAACTATATAACTGGAAATTTATGGTGGTGAACTGCTGGACTGTGCCTGATTTTGTTTTACTGATTTGGGAGTTCTGAACTTTAGATATTAAGGAGGTAATACCACCATCTGCTGGAGATTTAGATTATAGCAAGTTCTTTTGTTTACTCTGATATATTGGAATATATATCAAAGTTGGGAGTACCAAATCTGTTAAACCTGTGAAACTGATTATATTTAAAGGAGCTAATATTACTAATAGAGTTTTGTGACACTAATAGGGATAAAGATAAGGAAAACCATCTTGAAGCTAACAAAGCAAGTTAATATGCAAGAAAATAGGCTGGCTGAATTGGAACGCAATGAATGGGAGCAAGATTCAAAAATAATACAGCAGGAAAGAACTTTGACTTATCCACAGACCGAAAAGGCATGATATATACTACACTTTCAAAACATAGAAGAGGAACAGGAAGAAGATGTAAGAGCAACTATAACACAATTACTCATTCCTATTGTAGGATTGGCTCCTGAAGAAATACAACAGAATCTGGACAATGCATGGAGAATCTCAATTAATTATACAAGAAACAACTGTAAACTGAGAGAGATTCGTGTAAATTTTTTAAGGAGCTCTTTTAGAAATCAAATTTTGGCAAATTTAAAAGAGAAACAGCTGGTTTGGAAAGGTCAAGATTAAAAAATATTGAAGGATATTCCCTGGAGAGTCAGAAATAAAAGGGTAGATTATAAACAACTAACATAATTCTTGATGAAAAAGCAGATCAGCTATAGATGGATCATCCCAGAAGGGGTGCAATTCCACTATCAATGTCAGCAGCAATATATAAACACTATGCATAAAGTGAAGGCTTTCCTGGTTAGATATGGAGGAAGAAAGGAGAAGAAAAGAAAAGAGGAAGAATTTCAAAGGAAAGATACAACAGAAGGCAGGAAATTAGCAGCTTTTCCCCAGAAAAGCAAAGAAGAATCCAAGGAGGAGGAGGAAGAAGAGGAGAAGGACGAGGAGAAGGAAACCAAAGAAGCAAAAAAATCTAAAGAAGTAGTACAGATTCAGACCAGATCTACAAGGAAGAGGGAGGACTACGGAGGTAGTAAGCAAGCAGGAAATGTCTAAAAATCAGCTGAGATTAATCTATATTAATGTAAATAGATTGAACACACCTGGAAAACGGGAAAAATATATCAACATGGTTGTTGTGGGTTTTTCGGGCTCTTTGGCCGTGTTCTGAAGGTTGTTCTTCCTAATGTTTTGCCAGTCTCTGTGGCTGGCATCTTCAGAGGACAGCACTCTGTGCTCTGGCATTACAGAATTACAGAATGCTGTCCTCTGAAGATACCGGCCACAGAGACTGCCGAAACGTTAGGAAGAACAACCTTCAGAACATGGCCAAAGAGCCCGAAAAA